CAAACAAAACGAATACAAATCACGCAAGGGAAAAAGAAGAGGCTCGAAAGTGGAAACATGTCACTCTGTATTCGTGGACGCTTTAGTCAGTTTCCAGCCGCCACGTAAGCCCCCCACCATTTTTCGTTTTCTCGATTCCCAATTTCGGTTTTTTTTTTTATTTTATTAATTGAATAATTAAAATCCCAGGAAAATCCCACCACCTCCCCACGCCTCCAATCGCAAGAAAAATTCAATTGCGATCTTCTTTGCGTCAAAGTAAAGAGCTCCAAAACCTTCTCATTCTGAATCAAAAGCCGAGAAGAGAAAAAATCCCGATACTCGAAGGATCTGAAGAAATTCGGCGCCATGAATATCTTCAGATTCGCCGGCGATATGACGCATTTGATCAGCATTTTAGTCCTCCTCCTCAAGATTTACGCCACCAAATCGTGTTCAGGTTAGGACCGTTAGGTATTTCCACCTTTTTTCACTTTTCATACGTGTGCGTTCGTTTAATTTTGACATTGTTTCGTCTTTGTGTTGGTTTTGAGTTGGTATGGTGATTGGTGGATTAGCGAGTGATTAATGGAGTGAAGATGAGTTTTGGTTGATTTTAACCTGCTGGGATTTGCTGTTCTTATATATGTATTCTGTAGCAGAATTTACGTAGTGTGGGGGTTACATTTGCTGTGAAAATTTGCTTATGAAGGTGTAATTTGGGATATCAGCTTCAGTACCTTATATTTTTTCAAGTGTTACTGGTGAGGTAGAGTCTTGTTTTGTCACTGAGGAGGTTAGTGGTTTGGGGCTATCTTAGGATCTCCTTCTCGTGTTGTGCTGTGTTTCTCTTGGATCAGTTTTTGAGATTTCTTCGATTTTTGTTTTTTGAATTGAATCTACATAAATTAGCGCCTGCTTTTGATGAGCTCAAATGATTCATGATCGGAGCATGTATTTTTGTGTAATAGCTATTATCAAAACTAGTTTTTGTCCCGTGCATTTGCACGGAAAACTATATGATACATGAAAAAATAATAAAAATTATAAACAACAGTAAAAATCATAACAAAAATTTATTTAAAAAAATTAAAAAAATATATAAATATTCTTAAACACTTCTTTATGAAACAACGTCGTGGTTTTTCTATCGTCAAAATCTACCTCAGCTCAAATTAAAATCTTCAAACCCCACTGGCTCGTAACTCTAAAAAGCGCCACGTATAATTGTTCATGACTAAATACAGAGCTCTTCAGTAGTAAGCCGACGTGCGACAGAGACTGTCTTTGACTCTTATTGATCATGTCATAGCATAGGAAACACTTCTTTATATTGTTTGTCCTCGACTCTTATTGATTGATAGAGATTGTCCTTGCTTCTTAATAAAAAAATACTATCTAAATATAAATGAGTAAATATAATATTAATTTTTTATATAAACAAAAAATTTAAAGTAATTGATAATGAGTATAGAATTACCCTTGCGGATTCAAGTTATTTCAACGATGTTCTTTTTATATATCTAAGATTTAATTTTTTTTTTCCTAATTTATATGAATATAAGCACATTTGACTAATTTTTATAAAATTTATTGAAAAAAGTTACTATTTTTTTGAAAAATTAATAAGATATTAAGATAATACTGTACTTAACATAAATGTGGGATTAATTAAAATAAATCTTTTTAATTTAATCATTAACTAATTAAATTTAACTAAAAAAACCTTCTTAAATGTGAGATTAATGAGTAATTAATTAAAAAAAATGTAACTCCTTTTGGAGGGAAAGTGAAAATATTTTTATTAAATGTTTTATTAAATGGGATTAGCTAGCAATTATATATATATAGATTTCTAAATCAATGCAATCAAACCTAAATTAGTGCCTGCTTTTGATGAGCTCAAATGATTCGTGATCGGAGCATGTATTTATGTGTGTAATAGCTATTTTCAAATTTTCTAAATCAATGCCATCAATTTTTCATGGATCAATTATTGATGGAATATTGATATTTGAGTTCCCAGTTTGCTGATTAAATGAAATTTCATGATCGTTGCTCGTATGTTTCGGTTATGGAATATTATTATTATTTTTTTTAAATTACTGTATGATATCATTATACGAGATAGTGAAATTAACAGGCCTCCATAACATTCAGGGATTTCCTTGAAGACTCAGGAATTGTACGCACTTGTCTTCTTGGCTCGGTACCTCGATCTGTTCACCGATTTCATTTCAGTGTATAACACGGTTATGAAAGTGGTGTTCATTGGAAGCTCTCTGGCAATTGTCTGGTGCATGAGGTTTCACCGAGCTGTGAGGCGGTCATATGACCGTGAGGTGGATACATTTCGGCACTATTTTCTTGTGGGGATCTGTTTTCTTGTGGCATTGTTTGTTCACGAGAAGTTCACATTTCAGGAGGTTGGTTTAACATTTTTCTTGTCACCTCATGCCATATGTAGACTTCTGTTAAACCTTGTTTATAGCATATGATGTTCAAAATCTTCTAATTTTGTGTTACAATTAATATTGTAGTGTGCAGTCTTGCCTTGATCGTTATATATACTACTGAAGCTGGTTTTATTGATTTTGTCAGATATTTTGGGCATTTTCAATATATTTGGAGGCAGTTTCAATTCTACCACAGTTGGTCCTATTGCAAAGAAGTGGAAACGTGGACAACCTGACTGGACAATATGTTTTCTTCCTTGGGTAATTTGATTTTCTTCTGTTCGTTTATACTGATTGTTGCATTAAATATAATGTGGGGCAACATATTTTGTTTTTTTATTTGCCTGCACAGTGCATATCACCATTGACTAAGCATGTTGAATCACGTTTCAATTAGCACATCATTTTATGGAATACTGAACTACTAATCGCTTTTCCATATCACATTGTCTTTCTGGTTATTCCCTTTTGACAATCTTTCTCATGATTACATTGTATAGAGTACCAGTTATTGCATATTTTCTCACTGTATAGCTTATGTGGCATTTTAATCCAATTTTGGAAAAACACGAGTGATGAGATCATTCTGAGTAATATATCTTCAGACAAACAGCTGCAGTGTTTTAGTTACATTTGACGTTTCTTTATACTATGCATCAAAATAATGAGTTTGCTGGAGGTGTGGGAGACGAGAACTGGGCAGGTTCCATGTTTTTTTTTTTTTTTTTTCAAAAAAAAAAAAACGTAAGAATCTGAAGGGAATGTAATAAGCCAGCTAACTTCTGACAATGTACTTTCTTTACTCTTTCATTACATTCCCCTTAGTATTTGTAACCGTAAAGTTCATGAATTGTCTGTTATTCATCATAAGAAATGCATGATGAAGGGCAAATAGTTCGGAAGTAAAGACTCTTTTTTCTTCTTCTTAAGTGATCATTGGATAGTAAAATACTTGGCATTTTTAGTGCATATTTGCAGTGGCTTCTTTTAACTTTCCATTGTTACCGTTAGAACACTCTAACTGTATAAATTATGAGGTTCAAAACTCCTAAAGTTTTTCAATATCTTTGGATGGTATCCTTGTTCACAGAGCCTATCGTGCCTTTTACATCCTCAACTGGATATACCGCTATTTCACAGAGGATCATTTCACTCGGTGGATCTGTAAGCAATTGACAAGTTGTTCAAAAAACTTTATATATAGTGACATTTATATTTTCCCTCTCATTTTTCTATTTGGCTTTCCTTGTCTACCCTTCAGCCGTTGTCTCTGGCTTGGTCCAAACAGCTCTGTATGCAGACTTCTTCTACTATTATTTTATCAGGTATTATTAATTATTATCCACATTGCATCATAAACTCTCCTTATTTATACTTCTCAAGTCCTCTCCAAAATTAAATGAATAACAATCTACTCTTATTTTCTGCAGCTGGAAAAATAACGTAAAACTGAAGTTGCCTGCCTGAGATAATGTGATTAGACTGGTTGATAGATAGAGGGAATATGAATTGCTCGGCCAGTGGATGTTCTATTTATCCGTAGCTGAGGAAAGTTTCTGCAATTTGATGGTTAAGAAGGAAAAGTTTAAATTACCATATCATAACTGCTTATTTACATTAAAAGTAGAAAGGAAAATAGGGGAGAAGAAGGAAAAGAAAGAAAAGAAGAAAAGTAAGGGCATGTTGATATTATATGTAATGTTGAAAAACTTGTTTAAACTTGCTCGAGCTTGTAGTTCATGTAGTTTGTTTGTAAGCGTTGATGGTAATTGGAAGAGCAAGTATCGTGCTAATTGGAGAAGAGTTTTTTGCTTCATATGTTTGCCGCTCTATGTTTGTTATTTTTGCAGTAGTGGAATGTGAGATAAAGATCATAATAAGGTTATAATTTCCTTTTCCAAAATGCATCAACAATTTCCTGACTTGTGCGATTGGCGCTTGATTTCCACAATTTGATTCACAAATTGATTCACGATGTTTGTTGTATGTTGGAAAGATTGATTAAAAGCAATGTTATCAAATGGCGGCCATGTCAGTGCTGAGTTTTTGCCAAACTGCTATTCTAAATTTGTGAAGGATTGTGGGATTTTAGGCTGCTGTCATTTTTGGCCATCTGCCATTATGATGATAACACAGATTGGAAGGAGAAAGTGTGATAATGAACTCGTTCAACTCAAGATTGATTGAAAAGAAAGGAGAAGATGTGATAATTCAAGATACACATTGACTAGAAAGATTGATTGAAAAGAGAATGTATAACTAACTTGTTCGAAGTTTCGTAATTCTCTATTAAATATGTTCATAGGTGACATGAAAATATTTTCCATACAAGATTTATATTTGCTGATAATTAAATTATATTTCCAAATAAAAATATAATTATTATATCTCTAGATGTCACTGTTTTTATCACAATTTTTTTTTTAAAATGTTAGTCTTGTCATGTATAGCATTGTAATTATGGACTAGAAAACAGCTTAAAACGACTTAATAAATCAACTAAGTTGATTCTAGGAGCGGTATATACAGAGATAGCTCAGAGCCGACAACACAAGTGAACGCAAACAAAATAAAAAATGTCTGAAACCCATGAGAGAATAAAACACTCCAATAATGAAAATTGAAAAAAATAAAAACAAGTAAACAAAACCAATTTTTCCTTGCATTAACACAAAAAGATAAAATAACGTCCCCTTCCTCAAGTAACTCGTCGCCGCCACTAAGCCTACGAGCTCCAAGCTGCTGAGTGCTGACAGTCGCTCTTGAATATGCCACCACGTAACTCAAAGGCAACATCAATACATCGTATCATCTTAACAACAAAGCAAGAACTGAAATTTTCAAGCCAAATTTGTAAACTCTACTTCACTTGAAGCCTTATATTAAAAGTCAGATTAGGTGCTAGCCTATACGACACCAGGGCCCCTGATTTTCATCTAGACAGCCCTTCTAGGTGTTGGGTTGCAATTAGGCGGCGCCAATAACTGCCAAGTTAGTCACGCCTAGACTGATTAGACAATTTAGGCGTCCAAGCGCCACCTAGATACCCGTATATATTTTTTTATATATTTGTTATATTTCTAAAACAAATATTATAAAAATGAATTTTATTTTTAGATAAAATGTACAATAAATATAAAATTAAAATAATAATTATAAGTATATATTTTTTTTTTTGAAAAAAAATTGTATTTAACCATACTGAATTACTGATTATTATATTTTAAAAGATACAGTTGTAAGTTATGTATGATTTTAAATACAAATAAATTTATTAAGAGTCCCGATTAATATACGTAGGCGTCTATCAAATGAATTCCTCGCGCTTTTTAAAGCCTTGCTTGAAGCTAGATATACGTAAAGAAAGGAGCCCAAATTTAACACTAGAAAGAACGTCAAGCCTCGTAAAGGGCCGAAAGGGACATCTCTATATCTTAATTTGATTAAGATAAATTGCATAGTTTTAATAGAATTAACATTCATATGCCATATGAATTGCACAGTTATAAATTTGTTTATTCGTTTGAGCTCATTTGAATATATTTTGTCACAAACTATAAATATTCACAACAGGAGGCACTCCAACGAGTCGAATTCCTATTGGCCGGACGCGTGGCACAACCTCGTGGCACAAATGAACTGAACTCAACTGCCACGTAGGGTCCAAAAGCGAAATGCTCAAATACGCTGATAACCCGATTAAACCGACCCGGTGCGGAAGCCCCCGCCCAAATACGCTGCAAGCCTTCGAGGTTTCAGATCTGTAGCTTCGCGGTGAGTTTCTCGTTCATTGAATCGTTTCTCATTTTTTTTTTTTTTTTTTTTTTTTTTTTTTTTTTTGTGTTCCCGCTAGTTTTGTGATCATGGCTACACGTGAACCATTTTGTGTATAACTGGCATCACCAGTTGTCTATGGTTTAATTTAGGTTTGTTTTTAATTTTAGGTACCGATGATAAGTAAGGTCATTATCTAAATGACGAAGGGAATCGAATTTTTCAGAACTGAAATTCTGCAGATGAGCTGTTTCTTTTTAATGAATTTTGATTTGGCATTGAGATCCTTTTTGTTTGTTGTGCTTGATTCGTGGAAGGTGAATGCGTTTCAAATTTTGATCATCCTTATCGATTATAGTTTTGTAATTGGCTGTTTGGTTCATCTGGTTAATCGGAATGAGTGGCATTATACGACAACTTTTTCATTATCTGGTCCAATGATAAATAAAGTTAATTTGTATAGATTCTATGGTCACCAGCTGAATTTTTTGGTACCTTTTTTGTAAAATATCTGTCCATGGTCATTGTTAGGATGTTTTCCTGCTCTGTAATTATGAGTTATGCAGTGTTTTATTTTCTAAATTTATCAGAAAATAAATTGAGTTAGAACTTTAGTACGGTTGTGATGAAGGATTAATTAAACATTAGCATTTCTTCTGTTTGCCCCAAATGCAGATTCAAGAGGTTTTTATTTATCTTACGAAAAAATGGGAGGAGGATTTAGAGTGCTGCATCTTGTCAAACCTTTCCTTTCATTCCTGCCCGAAGTCCAAAGTGCTGACAGAAAGATTCCATTTAGAGAGAAGGTCATTTACACTGTGATCTCTCTCTTCATCTTCCTAGTCTGCAGCCAGCTCCCTCTATATGGCATACACTCCACAACTGGGGCTGACCCTTTCTACTGGATGCGTGTGATTCTTGCCTCCAATCGCGGGACAGTAATGGAGTTGGGGATCACACCCATTGTGACGTCTGGACTCGTGATGCAGCTCTTGGCCGGTTCGAAAATAATTGAAGTCGATAACAATGTCCGTGAGGATCGTGCACTCCTGTGAGTTAATATGCACCGTGAAGCTGTGTGGCTTATAGTTCTTGCTTTTCTTCACTATATATCGGTCTCCATTTTTGAGAATCTGTTTTAATGTGCAGTTTTGTTGTTTTTTCTGTAGAAATGGTGCTCAGAAGCTTCTGGGTATCTTGATTGCTGTTGGTGAGGCCGTTGCTTATGTTCTCTCGGGAATGTACGGGAGTGTGAGTCAACTCGGTGTTGGAAATGCTATTGTTATTATCCTTCAACTGATCTTTGCTGGTATTATCGTTATTTGCCTGGATGAGCTTCTCCAGAAGGGTTATGGTCTTGGTTCAGGGATATCATTGTTTATCGCTACCAATATCTGGTAGTCTTTTGCTTAAATAAGTTGTACTGTTTATTTGTCACCACCAGCTTATGGCAGTTTACTAATAAGTAATAAACCTTTCCGATTGTTGTTTTCAGTGAAAACATTATCTGGAAAGCATTCAGCCCCACAACAGTCAATAGTGGCCGAGGAGCTGAGTTTGAGGGTGCTGTCATTGCAATGTTCCATCTACTTATAACAAGAACGGATAAAGTACGTGCACTGAGAGAGGCGTTTTACCGTCAGAATCTTCCTAACGTGACCAATCTTCTTGCGACTGTATTGATTTTCCTGGTCGTGATCTACTTTCAAGGTTTTCGGGTGGTGTTACCCGTGAGATCTAAAAATGCCCGTGGGCAACAGGGTTCTTACCCGATAAAACTTTTCTATACATCCAATATGCCTATTATTCTTCAATCTGCACTTGTGTCGAATCTCTATTTCATTTCTCAGGTAACCCACTCCATGATATGATTTTAATCTTGTTCTCCTTTTTTAATCTTGTACTAATTTGGATTGTCTTCAATCTTCATGCAGTTGTTGTACAAGAAATATGGTGGAAATTTCTTGGTAAACTTGCTGGGCAAGTGGCAAGAGTCTGAATATTCTGGCCAATCTATTCCTGTTGGCGGCCTTGCTTATTATGTTACCGCTCCATCGAGGTAAAAAATATGTTCTATTCTTTTTCCTTCGTTTGTTTTTTGGAATTTCTGTTTTTGACAGATTTACTCCAGAGTCCAGACTACCCTTTTCTAAGATTCGTCAAGTTATTGGATTTCTGGTTAATAATTGAAACAAACATTGTGATTCATTTTCTTCACATCATAGGCAGAGTATCTGTTACAAATGCTTATCGATTTGGATTTCTGGTTAATAACTGAAACAAACTTTGTGATTCATTTTCTTCACATCATAGGCGGAGTATCTGTTACAAATGCTTATCAATTTACCTTCCTCTGCCGTATTTTTTTTTTTTTTCAGCTTAGCAGACATGGCAGCGAATCCTTTCCACGCACTTTTCTACGTAGTATTCATGCTTTCTGCTTGCGCGCTCTTCTCAAAGACCTGGATTGAAGTCTCCGGATCTTCCGCCAAAGATGTGGCCAAGCAGCTCAAGGCAAGTACCGAATTAACTCTTCCGTTATCGTTCTAGGATAATAAATATATCTCATGTTCGAGGACCAATCAAGATACTTGCTTTGTTCATGATGCCATTTTCCTATATGCAATAGACATGTTTGTGGTATCAAGAACGTCTCGAGATTCAGGCGATTGCGGATGATATAACTACACAACTCTATTCCATAACCCAATATCTTGGTGGTTAGACAAGTCAATTTTCTAGTGAACTTAAAATGATTACGACTCTACTTGATACTTTACTACTAGGGAACTCGTGTGTTTGGATACAAATATATACGCTCAAAATGAATTTTTTATTTTTTTATTAACTAGAGTTAATTTAATTTTGAAAATGGTGGTATGGTTAGTTGTTAGGGGGATTTTGAGTTTATATTAAAATAAAATTTAAAATAAAACAATGAAATTTGATTTGATGTAAAAGTAGGAGAGAAATGATGTGAAGTGATGGTTAGTTAAAATTATGTGAGTGGATGAATAGTTAATTAAAGTTTGATGTTATGTGTAAGAATGATTGATTTATATATTTGATTATATTGATAATATTGAAAATAGTGGAGTTGAGTTAAAGTTGAGATAGTTAACAAACACATTCTGGAATTCAATTGCAAGAAATTTTGATCCCGAATCATATAACGAATAAAGTGCTACATATATTCATTCGCTTTGGTCTCAACTTCCTATCTTCGGATTTCATATCGAGAAAAAACGTGTTCTCCTATACTAATGTTAGGTTGATGATATTTTTTGAAGCAGGAGCAACAAATGGTGATGCCCGGGCACCGTGATTCGAATCTCCAGAAAGAACTAAACCGCTACATACCAACAGCCGCAGCTTTTGGAGGCATGTGCATTGGGGCACTAACTGTGCTGGCCGATTTCATGGGGGCCATTGGCTCCGGCACTGGAATTCTTCTTGCTGTCACTATCATCTATCAGTATTTCGAGACCTTTGAGAAGGAGAAAGCAAGCGAGCTCGGTTTTTTCGGCTTCTAAGCCCTGTAGTTTAGTTAAATTTAGATATGTGTAATCAGATTTTGTCTAAATTTTTGGCACTCAGAAGTCTAAATGGAGAAAAATCATAATGTGGTGAAGAATTTTGAAATGGGCCATATGCTATTGATGTTGCGTTTATGATAGGGTGGATCGTGGATGAGCCTACTGGGCCCCCAATTATTCTATCCCCACTTGGACTTGCGCTGTCAGGCCCATTATTAAGCAGTGAATGCTATTTCGATGACTATGACATTTATGCGCGAAAACAACTATGTTGAGGCTGTCTGCTTACAAGCTTACTTGTTTCTTTCTCAATTCTCATATCATGACTTAATTGAACCCTGCTTTTGCGGGTAAAAAATTTGTACTAAATGTGCTTTTTCTTGTTTCTTCTCAATTCTCATCTCATGACCTAATTGAACCCTGCTTTTTAGGGGGAAAAAATTTGAACTGTGTGGCCACTTGATTCTCAGTCTCTTGGACAACATTTGGAGAACAATGAATCCTAATATTTAAGTGCTATTCCTTGTTCTTTTCTTTTTTAGTACTTTGAAATACAATTGCTCTTGAATTTAATATGGAGCTAAACGAAATTGGTGCTGGTGGAGAACAGTGAATCCTTTTTGGCGTATAATTGTTAATCTATAGCTACTTGCTAGCATGCCAAAAAAGTTGAGACGTGTGAACTGAACATATATTGATTGCTCAAAATCCTGATGAAAATGGTCTGTTTTGGATTAAAAGCAAAAGGTCCTCTGTCCTGTTGCTGTTTATAACATTGTCATCCTCCAATAATAATGTATCGGCGCCAAAATTCCATCATTTTCCCAAAATTGATAAGTGTTTAAAAAATAAAATAAACACTTATAAACAACTTACAAATTTTTTGATAATTTTCAATATGCATGGATGAAAATCCATATAAACATGAACTATTTCAAATCACCATTTACTGGTAATATGATTACAAGCACCATAATTGAACTGCATAATTTTAATTGACATGTAAAATTGCAAAATATCGTAAATTGATACACAAGATTATGAAACACTAGAAATTAATATTGAAATGTAGGATTACGAGTCATCATAAATTGGCGTATAGAATTATGAAGCATGACAAATTTATACTTTCAGCTCGAAATTAAAACACTTCATTGATGTATACGGAGTGAATTTTTCCCCTGAAAAAGATTAACGCACAAAATTAAATACAATACAAATTGATAAACAAATCACTTTTGCCAGGATATTTTGGCCGAGGATCCAGCTGAGTGTTATAGGTCTTTTTGCTTGGCGTAACATCAAAAGTGTTCACCCAGCATATATATGTCAAAAAAATAGTAGTAACCCATAAGCTGAACATTAAATTATAATTAATGATTATTATCTTACGTAATTAGGTGCAAGACTTCATTCCCACGTTACCTAATCTCTCTTTATCCAAAAAAAATTAGCTGAATATTTAACTATTTATTTTGTAATAATTGTCCAAAAAAGGTGGAATTATCTCATGCCAATCAAGTTTTGTGTATTCTAAATTAATTTTGCATCTTCCATTTGACTGCAATTTTAAATCACTTAATCAGCTGTGTTTGTTAATTAAAAGAAGCCAATTGATATCGTCCACAATAAATGGAGTCTTAATTAACACAAAAGAAAAATGAAATCATTTGTGTTCATTGGTTCTTAGCCCATGCCAGATAATTTTTAGAGTACTCTTTTTTTTTTTTTTTTTTNAGTTGACAATAGTAGCAAATTCTAGTTGTCTGCTAATGATGCCACCCCAACTTTAAGTTTAGATAAATACATCAATTTATTTATTTATTTATTTATTTACTTTGTAAAATCTTTATTCTAGTATACTACTAATATTTTTGTGACATCACAAACCCAAATGCTATAAACCTTTTTAATCTTAGAGATTGGGAATTAACGATTTGGAATATATTTCTTGTAATTTTTTATACAACTTAGCTTTGTCGACTTGAATAAGAATAACTATTATCTAACTTAACTAAATCAGAATTAATTTCGAAGGTTTCTATAGCATAAGTAAATCTGATTATTCCCAAATCGCCACTTTAGCTATGTAAATTTGATTATGCCAAACAAAAGCCTGACTAAAAAGATTCTAGAAACTACAAAATAGCGACAAATATACGTCAAATCCATGCTTTTTTCCAATAATATAAGTTAAAAAAAAAAACTGACCTGNTTTCTGTGCGAAAAAAAAAAAAAGAAATAAGGACCATTTAAGCAAAAAGATAAAAAAAGGTGTGAGTACTGGGAACTACGTGATACGTCACTTTCAGAAAAATTGTATATTAATTATACAGATATTTTATAATATTACATGCATGCCCTGTGGAAAATGCTGGATCTGCATTTCATTACACTAGTACAGAGCCCGTGCGATGCACGAGGTGTACAATTTTAAGGCTATTTATCCAAGATTATAATTATATACATGAATAAAGAAAAATGTACGGGATATATATAGTACGTGACCCATGCGAAGCATGGGGTATATTTATTCGGAGAATATCATATTATAAGATGCAATATTCAATAAGAGTTTATAATACGCAAGAAAATTGGACAATATTCAATAAAAGTTTTACAATATTCAAGTGGAGTCTTAAAGTCTCTTGTACATTAAGACTACTGACAAAATAACATTTTAATCAATGAGTTTCCTTTCTTTGTAGCCAAATTGTTAATGTGATTTGAGGAGTACAACAAATCGATATATAGCTGACTTGCTTTTTTCATTGTAGTTTTTTTTTTTTTTTTTTTTATAATGAATTTAAAGATATTCTAAAATATAGCAAAAATTAATTTTTTTATTACAATTAGGAATTTTACTAAATATAAACTCTCAATCTATGGTGTTAATCAACGTTTAAGTCTAAAAAATTAGGAATTTTTACCTCTTTTAATCAACGTTTAAGTCTAAAAAACAATAGAGTTATTATAAATTTTTTTTCTACATCTTTTAAAACATTAAATATGAGCATGTTAGGGCTAGCTTGTAAAATAATTAATATATTATCTCATTAAAACATTTATACTAATAAAAATTTAATTTTAGCATATAAATTTATCCCTTGATATAAAATAAAGTAACAGTTTTACTTATTGTTGTCAACCATATAATATTTAATTATTATTAATATAATAAAAAATGAATATTGTTAAATAGTGTAGTAGAATTGTTATAAAATTATATGATTTTTTTTTACAATATGGATTTAATATTTTTTTATGATTTGATAATATAAACAAATCTATACTTAACTTTGACAAATAAAACAAATAAATACTTTAGTAAGTATTTAATGTATATACTAAATAGGAATATATTTGGTATAATCAAATACCAAATATAATCAAATAAGTCAAAGTGTATATTTTTATTTGGTATTTAATTTTTTTATTATTAAAATCTTTTTATTATACTTACCTTTTTGAAATAAAACAAATAAATAAATCAATTAAATAAATAAAATATTATAATACCAAAATAGTAATGGTATTTAATGCAGTCGATTTTTCGGGATAATAAATGTAGTAAATTGAATCTCCTTTTATATAAGTATAGATATGATATTATATTATGTTGCTCAAAATAGTAATGCATTTATTGCATTGACTTTTCAACTTACTAAATTTTGTAAATGGTACACCTTATTATATAAGTATAGATTTTATATTACCAACTTACACACTGCCCCATGCAAAATATGTGCTTTGCAAAAATTTAATTGAAAAGTTAGGTTTAAGTTATTTTAAAATAATAATTCCATTTGATTTTGCTTTTGATCAAAATCTTTTTTTGCTAGCAAATTTCCTCCTACTCCTAGACACTACTTTTGTGCTTTACTCTTATTTAATTTTATGTATATTTAAAATTTCAAATTAAATTGTTTTGATTTTAAACTCAGCCTACTGCATTTACAATTCTTTTTCAATCATTGATTTTAGATAATGTTCAATTGTTTTAAATTTCAAATTAAATTGTTTTGATTTTAAACTCAGCCTACTGCATTTACAATTCTTTTTCAATCATTGATTTTAGATAATGTTCAATTGAAAAACAGTTTATCACTTTAGTTTAAACATCTTTAATCAGTATCAGTTTAAAGAGCAAGTACCAGGAATTATGCACTCCCCTTTTTTTTACCTAATACTATAATTTTGTGCATTTCTTTCTCATACCTTACATTTTGGTACATTATGCTAATAATAGCATTTATTTTATATATATAAATGACAAATCAGATAAATAGTTGTTGCCAGTTTTTTGTTTATTTTTTCTTTTCTGGTACATACATGATTGACAGGTACACATGGATTCCTTTTCCACCTCACTTGAATTATGGTCCTTCAATATTAAGTAAATTCCTCTACTCATTCCGAACAATTATACCTGTTTGTTTATTTTTATTTTTATTTTTTAAATTTTGTTCTTAATTTTTTGTCACTCCCAATAATTATGAGTCTGTCTACAAAAATACTTAAATACTTGCTCCACCAACTACTAGTCTTCTAAGGAAAGTCCAATTATTCTTCCTTTTATGCTAATTATTATCATTATGTATATTATTAAATAAAAACCATAACTGACAATTTACCAAATCACTAGCTGGGGAAAAAGCTACACATTTCTGCCAATAAATTCCCCTGTAAAAAAGTATAAAAAAGGCTGATACTAAAATATACCTGAAAATGATATGCACCCTATTTATTACCTATGTAGTTATAAAATAATAATAATAATAATTAAAATAATCATCAGACAGCGTGCATATGTAAAATTGTAATTTCATTAAACAAACAACAACTACAGTTCGGTTTGTTTTGTGAAAGCTCGAACTCAACTTATTTATTAAATAAACGAGCCCAATTTGAATAATTAATCAAGACTGAGCTTGTTTGCCGCATGGTTTGTTTTCAAATTTTATTATTTATGGAGTTTGAATGAAATAGTCGAATTCAACTTGTTCGCGAGCGTATATTTCATGTTGCTAACAATTCATTTATGATTTTAAGTTTATTAAACGAATTGATCCTAGAGGTTTCACGAACTTAAATGAATCGAACTTGAGCATAATCATTTATTAATCGAGCATGATTTCGAGTGAAAGTTAGTTTGGCTCGAGTCTACTTTCACAATCCAATTTTATTTATTTTAATAATATTTTCCCCCACCAATTTTCCCGCCATTTGGATTAATCCTGCTTTAATCGCTCTAAAAAAAAATCAAATCCTTAAACCACACACTCTATTTTTATTTTTAATATCTCTTTTTATTTTCCGCCATATTTATCTATCAAAAAGCTCGATTTCAATTTTCCCTTTGGCTTCCACAAACACACACACTACACACACTCACATTTTTTGCTTTGTTTCAAATTTCAATTCTCCCATGGACTCAACCCACCGGCCGAGCAAAACCGGCGGCAAAATAGCCAAAACCTTCCAGAAAATGATCCACCGGAGGCCCTCCTCCAGGCACCGGCCGTCGGCCCACCCCGGCTTCTGCCTCCTCATCCCGCAGGAGAAGCTCCGGTGCTGCGAGTCCCGCCAGTTCGAGAAGGAGGAGGCCGACGAGGCCAAGGAGGAGTCGAGGAACCGCGCCGCCATGGAGGCCTTCGTCGCCAAGCTCTTCGCCACCATCTCCGCCGTCAAGGCCGCCTACGCCGAGCTCCAGATGGCGCAGTTCCCGTACGACGACGCCGCCGTACAGTCGGCGGACCAGTCCGTGGTCGACGAGCTGAAGGCGCTCTCGGAGCTCAAGCACGGTTTCCTCAAGCGGCGGATAGACTCCTCGCCGCCGCACGTGACGCTGATGCTGGCCGAGATCCAGGAGCAGCAGGCGCTCATGAGGACCTACGAGATCACCATGAAGAAGATGCGGGGCGAGATCGAGGGCAAGGAGGCGCGAATCGAGAATCTCCGGCGGGATTTGGGGGTAATTTCAGGGGAGAACAGGTCGCTGGAGAAGAAGATGAATGCGAGCGGTTGCTTTTCGATTCTCGATACTGTCAGTTTTTCGGATCTGAACCCGAGGGATTTCGGTTTGGTTTTGCAGTACCTTTTGAGATCTGTGAGGAATTTTGTGAAATTGCTGATTCGCGAGATGGAAATCGCCGGTTGGGATGTTGAGGCGGCGGCTGGCGCCGTACACGGCGGTATCGAGTTTAGGAAGAGGGACCACAGGGCTTTCGTTTTCGAATCGTACGTCTGTAGGGAGATTTTCGCCGGTTTTGACGACCCGGGTTTTTTCTCGGTTCCGAACGACGACGGGGACGGCCGGTGGTTCCCGGACGACATTGACCAGCGGCGGGTTTTCTTCTTCGAGCAGTTCCGGAAATTGCGGTCGGCCAGCGCGCTTCAGTTCCTGAGGCAGAGTCCTAATTCGCCGTTCAGGAAGTTCCTGAGGTCCAAGTACCTGAGCATGGTGCACCCGAAGATGGAGTTCTCGTTTTCCGGCAACCTGAACCAGAGGAAGATGGTGAACGGCTTCGAGTTTCCGGAGACGGAGTTTTTCAAGGCGTTTGCGGAGATGGGACGGAGGGTGTGGCTCCTGCACTGCCTGGCGTTCTCCTTCCGGGGGGATGTCGGCGTTTTCCAGGTGAGGCGGGGGTCGAGGTTCTCGGAGGTGTACATGGAGAGCGTGACAGAGGAGGCTTTCGCAGCGGCGGCGGCGTACGGCGGGGAGGACGCCGTTCTGCGGGTTGCGTTCACGGTGGTGCCGGGGTTCAAGGTTGGTCGGACGGTGGTGCAGAGCCAGGTGTATCTGCTCCCGGCCAAAAGTTAGCTCGTTCGTTGGGCTGACTGTGTCTCACGCTTCTTTACGCGCCGCCGCCGTCTTGTCTGGTAGTTAAAGAGTTGAGACGGACTGGTAAATATTAATTTTGAATTATTTTAGTTTAGTTATTAAAGATAGAAATAAGCTGTTACCTTCGAAAAATTATTACAAATGGAATAAAAATATAAATATATTCGTAATTTGAAAAGATTAATGTAGCTTATTTATCTCCCTTGATTTAGGCTAAAAAAATAATTATCTCAATTAATAATTCAAATTACGAGTGAATTTGCGCGCGGGCGCGTAAGCCAATTGTCCTGAGGATAAGTCGCGAGCGCGGCGGCGCGTGAGGTATCAAAGAGCATATTATATTTGTATTATATGGCGGTTTTATGTGGAAAAAACAAATTTCAAGAACAGTAAAAGGACAGCTCTAAAGTTGGCATTTGGGCCCACATAACTCTATTGGATTTATTTATTTGAAGCCTAATGTGAACTGGATTTGGTCCTTTGGAGGAGGCATAGTAGTGATGGAAAAAAAAGCCTAAATGGGCGGACCGGATGTGGGGACAAATGGGCTTTCTGGCCTTTGTCACTATGTGAGGGGCCCATTGGCCAGGGATAAAGAGATGAAGAACGATATTTTTATTAGTTCGGTGCAATTTAATAGTTTTTCTTTTGTCTAAATGTAAGGAAAAAGTAGATAGATGAGATCCTACGAGTTATATTTAAAATTAAAGTATGTATATAGTAATGGGAAATGTTATGGTCCCGTTACGGAAATTTTAACCATTAGATTATCTATCTTATACTAACTACATGTATATTCTACGATTAAAACTCCGAGACTGTAGCATTTCCATTAATAATATATTGTTTACATGTGTATATCAAATAACATTTCCTTCTTCTGTTTACGTTATACAATATTCATAGCACTGTGAAATGGGTCAACCCAGTCCAGTTGATTGATGGGCCTTGCACATTTTTCTGTGGGCTGCGAAACAAAACAATTGTGGCCCGCATGTGTGTTGGCCCGTGGGATGTTCTATTTCCTTCTAAACAAAATCATATATAAGTCATAACATTAAGCTAAAGAACACAGCATTAAACAAAATCATAAAAAAGTCATAATATACTGTTTTATTTGCTTGCATATTGTTTGTAGGTTTTAGCTGAGTACGATCGAAAGATCTCTCTCGGGTCGTGTCTCTCGAGAAAGGTTGTTTGGAGACGAATTCGAACAATGATCGACTAACACAAAAAGAAAAAGAAAGATCCTAAACGTTCTACTCACATGATTGGTGGTTGTAATTAAGCTAAAAAACACAACTTTAAACTAAAACGAGAGAGCAAGACTCAAACTTTATCGCAAGCAAAACCTCAAATTTCAAGAAAAAGGGAAAATAGAAAGAAAAATAACAAGGTGCCCTAAGACCCAAGATGGAAAGAATGCACTTATAGGTTCGGGAACATAGAATCAAGCAACCGTCATCCGCGAATCAATTAATCGAAATCTTAATCAATTCTCGCTCACGTAATCAACAATAAAATCACATAATCCCTAGCCTACGAGAATGAATGCATATTCTACTCATGACAGTTCCTACCTTTACCCTAGAAAAAAGTAAAATAAATAAAGGCAAGAAAAAACTCACGAGATCTTGGATCTTCAACTAAGTCTCTGATTGGACCTTAAACGAAGTCTCCAAGTCTCTAATGCGTCCACGAGAAGAAATAAGCCGAAAATTTGTAATCTTGATAGAGAAATATTACAATAAAAATAGGGTCTTTGAGCTCTTAGAGAAAGAAAGAACACTAGAGAGAGAAGAGAGAAAAAAAACTAAGAATAAAATTTTAGCAAATGAGGAATTTTTGCAAAATTACAAAGCAACAAGTCTATTTATAGTTACACCTCAAACACACACTAAAACACACATTTTTAATGATAAAAATTTGCCCAAGATGGTGTTGAGCGAGCTCTGGGCGAGTGTAGGGACGCCTGGCGAGCCTTGGGCGAATTCTTGCGCGGGCAGGCGAGCGCTGGTAGGAGCGGGGGACGGGCGGGTGCAGCGTGGGTCTTGACTCGGAAAGGGCCCGGGACGGCTTGGAATGCTCGACAATGGTTTGGATGGATGTCGGGAAGGCTAGGTCGGCTCGATCGACTCGGACGGCTCGTTTTCCCAAGCTTCGCAATAATGGACCTATTCAACACCAAAAAGACAAGAAAAATAAACTGAACCACAAAAACACACAACGAAAGCAAAAATACACGAAAAACGACAAAATGGACTGGTCAACTCTAAAACGAACCTAAAAAGACTCGACTAAAGCACATAAAACATACGAAAATAAGCACAAAAACACAACAAACATGACTCCCCCACATATATATTGCAAGTATTACATAAATTGAAATATTTTTCATATATTTTTTATAGCATGGACGTTGCTTAAGATTAATATACAACATTATTAAAATATCACTTGAAACAGTAAGTGAGAATTTTTATTTTAAATTACATTTTAATAGAAACATTGAAAAAAAATAGTAGATATTAAAAATATATATTACCATTCTTTCCTAATAACATGCTAATTTATTATTTGACCTGCTATACAATTAGTTACGAAATATATCAATATAAATGGGCTCTGTAGGTAATAGCCCATATTAGTATGGCCTGCAGCAAAAAGTTCAGCTCCGCATCAGAAAATTACTTGCCTTACGACCTACTCACAGCATATTGTCCCAAAGATGAGATCTTTTTTCTTATTCCAATTATCGGTTCTTCATTTCATATTTAAAACCTAATTAATTATCCATTTTTTTTTTTTTTCAACACGATAGAATTTATAACATCAAATCAAAATAAAGAGTTTTACAATCCGAACTACTAACAAGTTTATACAATCGCACATCAATTTCATCTTCTGTTAATTTTTCCTTCATCAACACCAACCTCCCTCAACTCTCTCTCTCTCATCATCGCACCGCCGACAGTGCCAACACCCTAAGATCTGATGCGATGGAGGCGGCCAACGGTACTAACTCCAGGAGAGCATCTCCACCTTCGACGATGCCAGCGGAGGGTGTGCATCTCAGCGCCATCAAACCTTCACCAACGTCACCCTCGTTTCGAGGTCCTCTCCCTCTTCGGCTCCTTTCTCCCGCCGTCTGCACCGTCCGCCGCCTCGAGGCTCAACATATAACTCGTCGGGGAGCAGGAACAACTAGTCGGAAAGGTGTGGTTTACTAAATTCTCTTAATCCAAAGTTGTGGTTTATTGGTCTAGGGTTTAACTAATTTTGATTTTTTTTTTTTTATTTTTTGTTTTTGTTTTGGGGGTTCATTGATTGATACGTGAATTGCATATATGTGAATTGTTGGATTGTTCTGTTTCTAATGTTACTGAATTTCCCTTTGTTTGATCCACAATGCACAGGAACTCGCCACTGGCGAGTGTATTCTCCCTTTAGGCTACATTTGAATCCAGTAAACAAATAAAAAAAAAATTGTTATCAAATTTGTCATTATTATCTTAAGAAGCTATATATAAACTTGATGTAAACATGGGAGAAATAATATGTTTGAACATTCTGTTCATTTTTCATCCAGGCTTCATAATTCTTGTTATTGTGGCTAGTTTGTGGATATTCTGTCGTCACCGCGCAAGACATCCAGACAGCCACAAACAATTACGACTGCAACAATAGGCTCTACAGGGAAGTCGGTGCAAGTATCACTTACAAAGGAACATTAAAGAGCAGTCCAGGAAGAATAGAGATGCAAAACTCACCGAGCTCGGTGGGCTGTTTGAGCCATGGGATACAGACAAAACAGGGTGACGTCTATCGTTTGCAGTGGTGCTAGCGGAGCTATTGACGAGGGGACGACTTGGTAAGGATCTTGGACAATCGTTTGGAGGCGTGTGGTGAGGTTGAGGTGCTGATGCAGTTGAAAATCTTGCCGAGAAGTGCTTAGCGTGCTCGTCAATATAAACCGAGTGTGAAGGAAGTCGCATTTGAGTTGGACTGCTTGAGTAGGGATTTTGGATCGGGAGGTACATGTTCGAGTTTCAATCTTCAGGGGGCCGACTATAGGAGTTTTAATGGGGTTTGTGTATAGTATGTAATATATTTGTGTTTTGAACATTTGAGAGTTAGATTGATGTTTATTAATGGTTAGATTATGATTATTAATTGTTCTTTTTTTTNGNCNNANNNANAGNNNANANNNAGNNNNA